ATAAAAGAATCTCCCCACCAAAGGTTTCTGTTTCCTGAATTCTGATGACATGTGTCCCCAGGCCTCTAGGGACTGACCACAGTGGAGCGTGAGGCCTGAGAGATCCTGGTGGTCACTTGTTGGGCCTGGGGCCAGACCAGGGGTCTTCCCAGTGCACGAGAAGAGATGGGTGAGGTGGGACCAGAGTGGGTGACAGTGGCCGGACACCAGCTCCCTGAGCCCCGCCTTACCTCTTTGAGGGTGGACTTCAGCGTGTGTATCATGAACGACAGGGACTCCTTGTCAGAGTAATTCTCTCTTCTCACATCAAAATATCCGTGGACTGCTCTGGAAAGTGAGGAGTTGGGGTTGTTGGGGTTCATCTTAGAACCGCCTCCCAGCACTGCCCTCATCCTGCCCTGGGTTCAGGCCTCTGAGGAGAAACTAAAGCCTGGGCTACCCCACCTCCCACAGCTGGGCCCCTTGACCCTGGGTTGGATTTGAGGTTCAGTTAATCTCAGCTCACACTCAGCTGGCACAAGCCAGGCACAAGCGAGTGCTTAAGGTACAGCCCTGCTGGGGCGCAGGGAGTTCAGGACTTGGCCACAGTCACAGTCCTGAATAGCAGAGCTGGGATCTGAACAGGCTCTGGAGTCCACACTTGCTCTGAGAGAATTTACGTCTTACAATCCTCCCATTGAAAGTCTACAATCCCGTGGTTTTTAATACGTGGAATGTGAGACCATCGTCACAATTACAGAACATTTTCATCACCCCCAATGAAGTCCCGAACCTCTGCGCTTTCACACACCGCCCCCCCCACAGGCTTCCGGTCCTGAGCAACCATGAACTGGCTTTGTCTCTGCAGTGTGTCCTATTTGGACTTGAGCGTGAATGCAGTCATACAACACGTAGATGGTTGTGTCTGACTTCGTCTGCTTAGCGTGAAGATTCATCCACGCTGGAGTCCATGTCAGTGCTTCCTTTCTTTTTATGGCTTAAAAATTGTCTGTGGTGGGCCAGGCATGGTGGCTCATGCCTGTAATCCCAGCACTTTGGGAGGCTAAAGTGGGCGGATCATGGGGTCAGGAGATGGAGATCAGCCTGGCCAACATGGTGAAACCTCGTCTCTACTAAAAATACAAAAGTCAGTCAGGCGTGGTGGCGGGCACCTGTAGTCCCAGCTACTTGGGAGGCTGAGGAAGGAGAATCGCCTGAATCCGGGAGGCAGAGATTGCAGTGAGCCGACATTGCGCTCACTGGTCATGGAGCCTTACCTGGGCATGCCCCCGGCTGACACCTGTGAAAAGGTGTGGGACAGCCCTGGCCCATCCCCTGCTGCCTGAGCCCTCCCCTCCTCTGACCTTCCTCCTTCCATGACCCTGCTGCCAGGGGGGCTTCCCGAAAAAGATCTTGAGCCTCAGCGGTGTGGTCAACAGAGAACTTGGAGCTTCATGCCAGGGCTCCCTCCCGGAGATTCCTGGCGCCCATGTGTCTTTTGGGGGTGACTGAAGGGCCCTTGGTCCAGACTCACTTGATGAACAGGACGTGGGCCTGCAGCTTCCTGATGGAATGCGCATACAGCTCCCTGCTGACTAAGTCAACACTGTTCTCAGGCTGCAGAGACAAAAGCAGAGTGAATTCCACCCTAGATCCGAGCCCAGGACCCCACCACATCACCGCCTCATCGAAGGCTCTTTAGCCCCTGGTGGACAGAGATTCCTGCCCTCTCCAAGTCTGTTCTCCCCTCTTCCTGGGCTCCTGGGTACCCAGCCTGACTCCATTTCCCATACTGCTTTGCCACTGGGTATGGCTGTGTGATTAAAGTCAGAGAAGTGACTTGGGCCACTTCTGGGCCTGGATTTTAGGACTGAGGTGTGGCCCTTCCACACCCCTTTCCCAGTCCGCAGGCTGCACCTCACGCTGTCCCCTGCCAGCCTGGGACAGGCTTCTTGCCAGCAGGAAGAAACTTGCTGGGACCACAGTACAGGATGGGCACTCCATCATGGCCCCTGCCGGCCTCCTCCGCAGCCCTGCCTGCCCTGTCTTGTGATAGTTTCACGTCTGGATGGCGGGGATGTGGCCAGCTCCAGTGAGATGTGCTGTAGGTGTGACACGAAGCTGGATTTGGAAAACTTAGCATGCAAAATAATGCAATCAAGCTTCATGTTGATTACATCTGAAATCACATCATGGATGTTAAATAAAAATATGAGAACAATTGATAGAGCTTATTTATTTATTTTTGAGACAGAGTTTTGCTCTTGTTGCCCAGGCTGGAGTGTGATCTCAGTTCACCACAACCTCCACCTCCCGGGTTCAAGCGATTCTCCTGCCTCAGCCCCCTGAGTAGTTGGGA